CCACAGCCAGCAATAAGAGCTCACCTGGTAACCCTCACTATGCCTCTGCCGGGAGCCTGAAACATACGACTGCATCCGCCCAGCCCGGCTGAGGGCTCGGGGAACCCGGCGCTGCACGGACAGTCCGGGAGCCCGGGACACCCTGGCAGCCACGCTGAGGCCCGGTATCCGGGAAACGCTGCCTTAGGGGAACAAACAAAGAGCAAGTCTTTGGGATTTCTGCCTGGCTAGGAGCCCAGCGGCAGGCGGCTGCTGCTGGAAGGGGAGGGCTGGACAGGCCGCTGTGCTACTTGGGCATCCCTCAGCCCGGAGCTCCCAGCGCTACTCACGTTGCTGCTCCCAGCAGCTGAGACGGCTGGGGGAGAACTCGGGGAGACTCCCAGATAGTGCTGGGATCAGCTCTGCCTTCCCCCCCACGGCCCTGGGGGATACTCACCCACGATGCCTCGCTGGATCTGTCCACAGGGGAACGAGCCAGGTGGCCAGGAAACGTCGGCAGCGGGAGGCAGAAGAAGCTTGGCCGACGTGCGCACGGTGACAGCACTTTGGTCGCCTGCCTTTCCCGGTGTGGACAGAGTCTTCACGCCCTTTGATTCGGGTATCGAGCGCCACCCGCGCCCGCCGTGCCGCCCGCAACGCCGAGCGAGAGGAATTCCCCGGTGCACTCACGGCATGAGCCAAGCGGAGCCCCTGCGGGGACGCCTGCCGGGCGAACACAACGGTGTGTGTTAAAAGGGCACGGCCACCCCACACGCCTGCCTCTCGCACGGCGTCTGCGCTCACCCGCGTCCGGCCGCTCCGCACGGCCGTCGCTCCCTGTGCCGACCGGGCTGCGAAGAGCTTGGCTGGGTGAGCCCGGGAAAAGGGCAGGACTCCGATTGCCCTGTATAAAGACGCCGGGGAGGAGGGTGAGCTGGTGCTAGGAGCCGAGGAACCGCGGAGGCTGGACGTGTGAAGGCTTCTCCCCCGCAGAGCCGGGAGGTTCTGGAGCCGGGCACAAATCACCCACTCGCGGGAGGTTGGCGCTGGAGCTGCTGATGCCCAGGGCAGGCTCCTTCCGGTCCTGGTGTGCAGCATTCCCAGACCGCAGTGTCCAATATCACCCCCCCAGGCCCGGCCCCCACGTTTTGTCAGCTGACGCTACGGCCTGGCTGCCAGGGGGAGTGCCGGGCTGGGCAGGGGACAAAGGGGCCCGTCTGAAGTTGCAGGGGCGGGGAAAGCCACAGTTGCACAAGGGGGTGATGTAAGGGCGACGCCCATGCCCGGGTCCCTGGGGGCCGGGTATTTAACCGCCCTGCCCCGGCCGCCGGCAGCACAGGAGAAGGGCAGGGCAGCGAAGGCCATGGAGCTCCTGGGGGCCGTCACCCTGGTGCTGGTCATCGGCCTCTCCTGCCTCCTGCTCCTCTCCAGCTGGAGGCAGAGGCGGGGGGCCGGGAAGATGCCCCCGGGCCCCCTCCCGCTGCCCCTGCTGGGGAACCTGCTGCAGGTGGATCTCACCAACATGCGCAAGTCCCTGCTGGAGGTTGGTGGCTTTTCCTGGGGCCCCCAGGCTGCGCCCATCACCCCCTGTGACCCCCCCACCAGGGGCACTGGGAGGCCCAGGGGGTAGAGCTGTGGGGGGCAAAGGTGGGGTAAAGAGGTAGGAGAAGGGGCAGGAGGTGGGGGTGGAGGAGAGGGGCAAAGGTTGGTGTGCCGGGGAGGTGGAGCGGTGGGGCGTGCGTACAGAAGAACAGGCTGTTCCAGGGGTGGGGAGGCTCGTAGGGAAGGGTATCTGGGGGCCGGGATGGGGATGTGGAAAAGGGGTGCTCGGCCAGGCTCTGTCTTGAAGCGGAGTGCTTGGGTGGTCCAGGAGAGAGTCAAACACCGCTCAGCTGATCGGCAGATCCCCTGCTGCCAGCCGCATGTTTCTCCTGGTGGTGCACATCCACTCGTGCCTTGGTGCACGCGACAACATTTATTCCGCACATGGGGTGTGGAGAAATTTAGGGGGAACACTGGTGCTCTGTGGGGGGTGCAGTGGGGCAGGGTGCCTCTGCATTCCCTGCGCGCCATCCCCGCGTCTCAGCAGATCAGCGAGCGCTACGGGCCGGTCTACACCCTGCACCTGGGTCCCCGGCGGGTGGTGGTGCTGTGCGGCTACCGGGCTGTGAAGGAGGCCCTGCTGGACCAGGCCGAGGACTTCAGCGGGCGCGGGGAGATCCCCACCTTCAGCTGGCTCTTCCAGGACTACGGCGAGCGCGCTCCTGCCCGCGCACCGCCCTGCTGTTCC